GCCTCCGCTCCTCCAACTCAGGTCTGGGCCTTTCCCACCCCCAATTCTACTAATTAACTAAAATTATAACTTTATAAAAATCTGTAAGTACAAGTGTCAATGTTCGAAAAAACGGTAGCTATGAACAAATAAATAAGCGCAGACAGAGCTCAGCGGCCGCTGCAGTCTCCCGCTTCCGGCGGGCACGCAGGTGTCAGGCAGCACTGCCCCGCCTCCCCAGCCAGAGTCCAGATCAGGGGTGGGAAAGCTGCTCCTGGGGCCGCCAGCCACTCCGGTTGGGACTCAGACACTTTTTACGAAGAGTAACCGAGCACAAGGGCCTGGAAGCAGGCGTGCCGGCCAGGCTGGGAGTGAGGGGGTGCCGGCTGTCACCGCTGAGTACGCCCTGGGCTGGCCCGAGGGAGGAGGCCGGGGCAGGAGACCGGGCCGAGGTGGAGGGAGGAGGCGCCCCGAGGGCAGAGGTGCCTCTCTCCTGCCCCCCTCACAGGGTCACCCCTACTGAGTGAGTGCACTCAGAGAAAGTGTGGCACTGCTGATGTGGTGACCAGACTCATCTTGTTGCAAGATGCCAAATACCCACGGGCGTGGGAACGAGGCCCTGCGCACCTTTTAAAAGGAGAAAGACCATTAGACTAAAACCCCCCAGAAAACTAGCCCGGGCCCAGGCCCGGCAGCGCTGCTCACGCCGGCGGCTGGCGGGGATGCCCGGACGCTGGCAGCCAACGGTCTCAGACCCCAGCTGAGCGCCCAGCCACCACACCAGCGGGGCACCGAAGGGACCCCCTGCCTGGACCCCCGGGGGCTCCGGCACGGACAATGTGGGCAGCAAAGGCTTCGCCCACTGCCCGCAGCCCCTGCTGGAAGGGCCGGGGCCACAGAAGTGCCGGAGCTCGCACTCAGAGCCCCGTGGACAGTTCACGGGAATTTACAAAGCAATGAAAAGGCCCCATCTTTTAAACGTCGTGATGTCTAGAACACCCTGTGCGAAAGCAGTCTTTGAAAGGGCTCTGCTGCGGTCAGAAGAAGTCCTCAGCCGCCGGCCCTCTCCTGGGCGTGGCAGCCAGGGGCTTCTTGGTCCCCAGCGGGGCGCTGGCTGGCGAGCTCGCGGGGGCCTTCAGGACCCCGTGGAGGGGCCTCTGCTGGGGGTCGAAGGCCACCCGGGAGGGGCCTGCGGGGCTGACCAGGATACTCTCGTCTGTCTTCCTGAATTCTGGCCCGG